TACGCCTTAAAGTGCAATGTTTTCTGAACTGTGGACAACTTGTATGCCATATGAAGAAATCAACAAAGCCAAATGGGTCAGGACAGAAAGGATGGAACTGATTTATGATGGCTGCTGATCTTGCAAGTCCCATGTTAAGATACATGGTGAGTGGTTTAAGATGAAGGGTTTATGTACTTGAAGCATTTCAAGATTCAGGGATGGCACCCTCATAGAAATACTGAAAGCAGGATGGACTCTTTAGCAACATCAGGAAGGTGTTCTTAATAACAAGAGAAGATCACTGATATACAGAGRTGTTGCAAAGAAAGCTGTGGAGGAGGCAATTTAAGGACTTAAAAAAATAATAARAAGYCTAAATCCTGGGTCACTTTGTGGATTTATGTGACTTCTTTGCTTGCATTTCATTGTTTTCTTTTATAACTTAGGGCAGTATCAGTCTGTTCTTAYGATTTTAATTCATAAAAGTTAGATCCCTTATTTCTTATTCTCAAGGAGGGCATGTGCTGCTTTTCCTATTTCTTTAGGATGTGGGATTTAGTTGTTGTAAGGAAATGTTTATCTCTCCTATCCCTGTGTTTTCCTTGTCCTTCTTTAGAGGGTAAAGCTGGATTAGGATTAAGTGAAACAGTCTTGCAATTCAGGATCTTYCTATTGTATTTAAAATCTTGCAATTTGGATTTGAGATTTTTCTTACTAAGGCTAAACAGAGGYAATTATTTGTGTTTGAGAAGAAAGATATCACAAGGTAAAACTGCTAGCATTATCTTCTAGGGGAGGCTGGTKTGGAGCAACAAATAGGGTTACAGTCAGAGATCCTCAGCTTCCATAGCCAACTGGGCTTCCTAGGGATGTGCAGGAGGTGAGAGCTCGGCCATCCTCTCTGTCACAAAAGTCCTTCCTCCATTTAACAAAAGAAAGGCATTTCTTTTCCCATCCCAATCTAACCATGGCTGGTTAGAGTCTGCTCCAAATACAAAAAGTCCCAAGGGAGCAAACGAAGGGACAGTTCAAATGAACACTTTTATTGGAGGCTACTTTCAAGACAGAGGCACATAATTTTTTCAAATTAATTTTAGTGAGTGTGCTGCAAAARGGTTTGGAGGCCACAAGTAGAGTGGAAGCAATGACATATAATGGAAAAAACAGATTTTAGAGTCAGATGTATTTGGGATCATGTTTTGGCCTTATATCTTGGGGCAGTACTTATATCAGTGTTTTAGACCTCAACTAAAGCTCCTTAAATTTGTTTGAAATTCTGGAACCTGTTCTTTCTTACCTATGATGCACTTCACTCATGGACGATGAGCCCTTCTTAGAGCTGCAGGCTCACTTCCCTCTGTGCTCCAGCCATACTTTCACAGAACTGCTGATGGCTCATCTGTCCCTCCCTAGACTGCAAACTATTTGTGAGCAAGGAGTGTGCATGCCCACTGTGTCTCCAGCACCTGGACCAATGCTCACACATAATACGTTTGATAAATCATTTATTAAAAGAACACATAGTTCTAATACTTGTGAAATGCTTTTTAGCCAGATGTAATTATGCTATTCAAATGATATTTGGATCTAAAAGGATATTAAGAATATTTTTGAGGCCATGGAGGTATTGAATTTAGCATATGGTCAAGGACATATGGTAACAAATTCATTACCTCATTCCTAAGATTTTTACATACAGATTTAAAAACATGCTTTAATAGGGAAAAATTCAAATATGTTAAAAAATAGAAGAGCATGGTAAATTCCTGTGTACATATCATCTAGCTTTAACAATTATAGATTTATGGCAACCTCTTTCAGCTACATCCATCCCCCATCTGGGTAACATCATCAGATTATTCTGAGTCAAACCTCAGAATAATCATTACTTCATTCATAAAATTTTCAGTTATACACAAATTTTAAAATTTAACCCACTATTCAATTTTATTTATCACAATAATTTAGTTGCTATATCTTTATGGACTTATTTTTTAATCAGCAACTTGGTATTTTTATAAAGGTTTCCTTTAGTAAATCTTTTATTAATATTTCCTTTTGCTTTTTCCCATAGACCTATATAAACTTCTCCTAGCATTTAACTGGAAACTGAATACCAAGAGGAAGCTTAATTTGAAAAGTATTACCAAACTGGAATTCCAGGGAAGCTGGTCAGAGCTACTTCTGACTCAGATATTTTTTGCAAGCTTAAGGAACTGTGATGGCCAAGGGAGAAGCAAGATTTTAAATTCATATATATTCTCTCCCACTGGGTAAAGATCCCTATGAGCCCAGAGGCATGATAATCTGGTTATTTTGGTGAGAATCCAGTACCTCTAACTACAGCCACAGCTAACTTTGAAAAGTGATTCTTTCTTCTGGTGGTGACTTATAATCACATAAAGTCTTTGAAGATACATATTCTGGAATTTAAACAAACAAAGACTTATAGGAGATAGTCAGAGAGTAGCACCTCTGCCCCAGTCAAGGGACAAGTTTTGGGACTGAGGAGTTTAAAAATATGTGTGAAATCCCATGCTCAGATCTTCTTTCTACAGTCATTCTCCAATAAAAGGAACCAGGTCTCCTTGGATAGTCGGCTGCATTTTGGACCAGGGCAAGAAACACAAGAGATGAGCATGAACCTGGAACAGGGTAGTGCCAGAAAATAAGAAAATTCTACATAAAAACAACAAAAGAAACCTCAAATAAACAAAAATGCATTCTAAACAAAAACCCCATAATGAATCTGTCAAAGAGACACARGAGACAACTTAGAGTGTGAATGGCCAAAGCTGGTGGAATAGTCTGAGCAATAAAAAATTATTGAATAATCTAAATTAAAGAAAAAAACTGTGCCTGAATCCATACTGATAAGAATAAACAATTTAAAAATAAATGAGAAAGAAGAGACAAATTTCCCATGCATAAGAATTCCAAATAATTTTGTATCTGCTCTGATCCCAAGAGCATGGAACATAATTTCCYACCAAAGYGTGGGCTGTACACAGTGACTTCCTTCCAAAGAGTACAGTATGGAGAAAAGGGGAAGGGAAAGAATTTCACAGTGGAGAAACCTGGAGCAAATACTGCAGGGATCAGTCATGTTGATAGTATGAACCACTGACATGATGTCATGAAAATGGCACTTTACCTCTGTGGTTTTCCTTTCCAAACCCATAAAACCCAATCTAACTTTAAGAAAAATATCAGACATATGCCAACAGAGGGATTCTATAAAATACTTAACTAGTATGCCTCAAAACTATCAATGACATCAAAAATAAGTAAAACCTGAGAAATTATCATAGCCAAGAGGAAAGTAAGTAGATGTGACAACTAAACATAGTATCCTGAAACAGAAAAAGGATATTAGGTAAAAACTAAGGAAGTCTTAAAAAAAAAACTATGACTTTAGCTATTAATATAAAAATATTGGTTCATTAATTGTAACATGTGTCCACAATAGTGTAAGATGTTATTAATAGGGGAAACTGTGTATGTGGTATAGGAAAACTCTCTGTGCTCTTTTTGCAAATCTAACATTGTTCCAGTGAAGTTTTATTTAAAACTGTCTGCTCAGCTTTGATCTTACAGTAAAAAATTCATATGGACATATTTTTAAAAATTTTGATAGAAAAGTTTAGATTCACATATTTTACAGATACAGTTTTGCTACATTATATACCCCCACCTTCCTTCCCCTCATTTTAACATCTTCCATTTCTATAGTAGTGTGGTAAAATTGTTACAATTAATGCACCAATATGATATATCATTATTAACTAAATTCCACAGTCTAAATAAAGGTTCACTCTGTGTTGTACAGTTCTTTGGGTTCTGACAAAATATAAGGTCATGTATGTACCACTATTGTATCATACAAAGTAGTTTCACTGCCCTAAAAATATGTTTCACCTAGTTATCCCTCCTCAGCCCCATGAAGGGCTGTGCGGTGCCTTTAAAAAAGGCATTTAAACTCTAGACTATGAACTAGAGTATTGGAGGCTGAACTCTGTATTAAGTATTGGAGGCTGAACTCTGTGTGTCTGTGTAAGTGTGTGAGTATGTGTGTGTGTGTGTATACATGTATGTTCCTATATGTTTATGTGTCCATCTTTCCATGTGTGGGGTAACCCAAGTTCCTGAATGTTTACAAATAGTCTTTGGGTTTAAAAAGGAAGCCAAAAGGGCTGAATCAACTCTTACCATCTTAGCTCTACTCTACATGCTTCAGCTTTCCCTGGCTGCCTGCCTCTCCTTCTGTTCTGAACCACAATGTAAGTGAGCCTTGCAGGGTGGGAAATGAGCCATGACATTCATGGCCAAAGAAGCCAGTGCACACACACAAACAGTGTGTATTTCTATTATGCTTTGGGAATGAAAGGAAAAGTGATATGTATCATTTTGTGATTCAGGAAAAGCAGTAATAAAAACCCTGACCTCCAGTTAGTGGAGGAAAAAAAAAAATCATCCATCAATCAATGGATGTGCTGATGCCCCAGTATTACTTTGGTTAGAAAAATAATCCCACAAAACTCCCACTTTTCTCTCCTTTGGGTCCTAAAACTTTCATCACCACACTGCAGCACATCTGTGGAGAAAAGCATGTGGTGAGCAGGCATGTTCACCAGGGTCCTCAGTGGTTGTATTTGTAGCAGTTGATCCAGTTTTGGTCTTCCTCTGTGAGGGCAACTTCCACCCTGAAAAGGTGAAGAGGATTCTCCATCCCCAGTCTTCATTCTATATCTGAATCTGAATACTCTTCATTATATAATAAAGACAGACTTAGGTGATGTTTCTTTGCAACTCTGTGATCTTATTCTGGATTAAGGTAGCCAAGACAGGGTTGGAAATAAATACAGAAAACCAAATGGTGAAAAACTTTCTCTAAGAACAAGGGAAACCTGATCCCGGATAAGAGGAGAGATGTAGTACTTGACTAAAAGTTAGCTGAATCTGACCAAATAAAACAGCAAAACATAGTAAGGGGTTTTATAAGATAATATATTTCATACCTGCTTGTAGAAATATCCTCGAAAGGGTAGAGGATCTCTCCATTGTTACAGATTTCGCAGATGAACCCTTTCTGGCTACAAAGACTGCAGCTGTACACGTGTGAGGTGGCAAATTTAATGACCTTGCCCAAGAACGGAGCCAGCTTTCCCTCTATCACCTGCAGAAAGAGAAATGGAACAGGGAAGCAAATTGTTGAGAACAGAAGACTTACAGACACAGGAAAGGGATTCCTTTCCTTTACACAACAGGAAAACCTCTAATTATAATTTCTCAGCAACTTTGAGGAAGAAAAGACATAGTATTTTTGCTCCAAAAGAACTCGGGTTTAAACCACTGGAGGCTGGAAAATGAAGATGCTGAAGCTTCTTTTGTATTTCTCTTTTTTAATAGTGTGGTTATAGGGGATTGAGGACCAACAGATGGGAACTCTACTTGAATAGACCAACTTCACAGTTATGGTATTGGTATAAGAGCAGTGTGGTAGGTTTCCTAAAATAGATGGGAAACATATAGGAAAAAGGTGAATGTAGAAGTTTATATGGTATATTTAGTAATACTTTTTCTCTGATAAATCAATGAGGTAGTTTTATCATCATCTCCCCTTCAAACACATAGCAAATGTGGAAAGACAGGTTTCCTTAGCTGCTGGTGAGTACAATAATAGAAAGAGGCTGCAATGTGGCAGTTTGAGGGCCATTTTCAGCCTRTAAAAACAAAACAAAACAAAAACTGTAGTGTTTAAAAATAATGAGCCAATTTAGAGCTGGATGAGGTGGCATATGCCAGTAATCCCACTGACTTGGGAGGCTGAGGCAGGAGGACCACAAATTTAAGGCTTCCTGAGCAAATTAGCAAAAACAAAAAGAAAAAGGGCTAAGGATGTAGCCCAGTGGTAGTTGCCTAGCAGGTGGGAAGCCCTGGGTTCAGTCCCCAGCACTAAAGGAAAAAAAAAAGTCAATTTAAAAATTGGGAGATTGCTCATAAAAACACAGATTTTTAACCTTCTTTTGAAAAACTACAAGATCTAGCAAAACTACTCTAAATTCTGACCTGATTCTGAGCAGGGGTTGCCTGCTCCCCTAGCCCCCCACCAGGCCCTGGTGTCTTGCATATGCTGCTCTTCCACTGTCACCTCACCTGCAAACACCTGTGAGTTTGGAACCCATGGTCAATCAGATCCCTCATCACTGAATTAACTTGATGGGCTTCAAAGACTTCAGCACGTCACACATCAACAAGATAAAATCTGCCTTTACTCTTCTCTCATTAATGCATAACATGTGGATTTTGATATAAGAAAAAAATGAAGATTAGATTTAATTTAGAAATAGCCGGATGCCTTCTTTCAACTGAATACATAGTTAAAATTATAATTTTACATAGAACATCTGAGGGAAATGTCCACCAAGAAATCATAATGTCAAGGTGACTAAGTAGTAGTGACAGGGAATAAAAAATAAAAAACAGAGAAGGTAATCATGCCTTTTACAAAACAATGAAGCTCTACTGCAGCTAGAAACTGAGATAGTTTTTAAACATCAGGATGATGCCATAGTGTTCTCAAATAACCAAAACAATGATAAACTCTGGGCAGCAGAACAAATCAGAGAAGCAATCAGTTTGTATAAAGTTGTGTCTTTGCATTTTTTTTAAAGAGAGAGAGATAGAATTTTTTAATATTTATTTTTTAGATTTTGGTGGACACAACATCTTTATTTTATTTTTATGTGGTGCTGAGGATCAAACCCAGCGCCCCGCGCATGCCAGGTAAGCACACTAMGGCTTGAGCCACATCCCCACCCCATGTCTTTGCATTATTAAAAACAATTAATTAACAACATTATTTTTGCACTAAAATGCAGAAAATGAACAGAAAAAAATAAAGTTTACAGCTTTTTAAGAGTGGAATTATTTTCCTTAACAAGTAAGGTAGAAAATATCTTAGCTGATTTTTGAGTCAGGCAAGTGTTTTCCATCATTACTCAACTTATTCTCGCCTCCATAACCTTTAGGAAGCTGAGGATAGACCTCCTTTCATTTCTCTTCTTTGTGGATCAATGACTCTGATAAACTCCAGTTTTAGGCAYACTCCTTATGACACATGACACATGCTTTCTAAGAAATAACCACAACAAATCATATGCCTAACCACCATTAAACACTTCCCAATGTGTCATGGAGTAATTTCTAAATTGTGGTAATGATACTTCAGTTGAATTTAGTTTTCTTATTTTACTCCACTCTAAACAACCAAGGTTAATGACTCATTTAAAGAGAGACACCAAAATTTTGAACAGTATGGAAACCAAGTGAGTAAAGAGGAGGAGAGAAGCTGGGCTTAATGGGGCATGCCTGTAATCCTAGTGGCTCAGAAGACTGAGGCAGGAGGATCGCAAATTCAAGGTCAGCCTCAGTGAAAGTGAGGTGCTAAGCAACTCAGTGAAACCCTGTTTCTAAATAAAATACAAAATAGCACTAGGGATGTGGCTCAGTGGTTGAGTGCCCCTGAGTTCAATTCTTGGTACTCTACCCAACCCCCCAACCCCCCAAATAAAAAGAGGATAAGAGAAGACCTTGAGGAAGACATGAGAGTTTTCATGTGGATATAAAGGAAAAGACTGAGCATYTTGTCATGAAGCTTTTTCTCTACCCAGAAAGAAGGCTTCACTGGGGCAAAGTGTATGAATATTTTGAAGGCTCTTGTAATATTCCACCAACTGTACACTGCCATTTCCTATCTAGGGGCTTTAATGAGCTTTTTGAAAATTAACTTGAGGATTTCTATCTTCATAATAGTCTATCRGAGAACCTGCTACATGTCTGTATTTTATTAAAACTTCATTTATTATTACTTAATAAAAACCARTTTTGCTCCTTGCATACCATTCCCATGTATTATTAGGTTCTTTCAAGGTTAACCTTTTGAATAATATTTTTATTAGCTTTTGCTGGGATACTAGAACATCTTGACATTTGTGTTCATCTTATACATGACCATATTACTGCATTTTCATCAATGGCAATCATTTTTAGGTGATTTTTCTTGGGKATTATGAAAACAAAAATTGGATTCCTCCCTTTTTAATACTATGCCTCTTGCTTAAGCTTTATGTCATATTGCATGATTTATGGCTTCTAAAACAATATTAAGTAACAATAATAGTGATAGTGGTTGCTCTTGTTATTTCATTGAGAGTCAAATTTAAAGTATGCAGTCTACTGTGAGTGACTCATTTTCTCTACTAAATATCATGTCATTTACCACGTTATTGATTCCTTCTCCCTCTTTTAAGYAACAGCTTTATAGACAGATAATTCACATATCATACAATTCAACTATTTAAAATCTACAATTCCAGGGCTGGGGATGCAGCTCAAGGTAGAACACTTGTCTAACATGTTTGAGGCCTTGGGGTTGATCCCCAGCACTGTAAAACAAACAAACAAAACACTCCCCTAAACAGAAAACAAAAAATCTCTCTAAACCCTACAACTTGATTGCCTTAGTTTATTCATAGCTGTATCACTAGAATCAGTTTAGACATTTCACCAACTTTCTTCTAAACCCCCACACCCATTAGTAATTACTCCCATCTTTCCCTGCCCTTTCTTTTTTCTATAAATTTGCCTAATTAATAGAAATAGAATCATACAACATGTGGTATTTTTGTGGTTGAGTTTCTTTTCAGTGTTTCTACTGTAAGTCTCTTTTTTTCCACCCTACCCAATCCTCTTATTACCCATTTCTAGATTAATGAGATAATCTAGTTTTATACATCACTTTCATCATATATCATCTTTTCTCTCAAGGCTTTGGTGAATTATTGTTTTATCACTAATAAAAACTCTTCCACATTYATTTCATAAAATTTTACTGAGTTACCATGTCTCAAACACCTGATACAAAGATAAATGGCACAAAACTGGGATTTATGTTTTGCTTGGTGTGCAAGAGTCTCCGTAAGTTGACTCTACACTATTGATCCCAACTTATTTTCCATTTCTCAAAAACTCATCTTGTGTTGTAAGCAAAATTTCCCTGCACAAAGTATGTTTTCTCTTGCTCCCGAGCCCTTATTCATGTCATCTCCTCTATTGAGAGTTTTACTTCTTAAAACTCATTTAAATTTTACATAGGCTTCATGGCTTAGGTGTATTCTGGTTTGATCTGAAAAGCTATCTTTGGCTACTTCAGCTCCATGGACCTTTTATGCTTATCCTTATTTACTTTCACATCAAAATATCTAATTTTGCTGTTTTGTGCTCTGTTCTATTATTTAATATGTGAGTGATTTGCTTATCCAATCATATTGACCATACAAAAATAATGATTTTTGACCATTTACATGGGGCAACTAAAGGAAAGTAAATTGCGTGAAGGGRAAGAGTCCCTCCCTGTCAGTTCTCGTTGACTAACCCAGAATGCATTTCTGTCCCTTGCCTTAGCTGTTGGCAGTCATATTTTGGGGTTATCTTTGTGTCACAGCATTTTCAGTCACTGTGTTATATGGTTTAGGGAGAAGCATAACCAGTGCCTGGACCAGGTGGCAGATCACTTATGAAGAAGCAAAAAGGATTCCTAAATAAGTGATCTGCTTTAAGATTGCTTTTTCTTATTTGTCAGCTTAAGTTGGTGGCCGGGTTCCACATGGCTAAAGTTGCTGGAATATTTTCTTTCTCCAGAAAACTGAGGTAATATTCTTAAATTTATTTTAGAAATTACAAACATTCCTTTAATATTATAGAAAGGAAAATGTTATAATTTTTCAGGGATATTTAAAAGGCTTAAATCTTGTCTCTGAATATGACTACTGGTGGCATTAGGAATAGAATCAGTTATTTTGGTTTCTGGTCTAGAAGTTTGTTTCATCATTATGAAAAGTGGGCTCAGGTATGTTATTTCCTTGGTTTTGTTTTTAAATAAGGTATATCTTTATTTTGGTTGAATCCTCAAAAATAAATCAATTGTCATTTCTTCCACAGCTTCCCCTCCACTGCTAATAACCTTGTACTATTCATGCCAACTTCCTAACCTTAAGGTTAAGTTCTGATGAAGAGCCACCCCTAGCAAGAGGGCAGCTTCAAATAAGACCAAAGCTCAAGGAGACTAATACCGTCAGGTTCCAACTGAGAATGAAGAATAGAAAAGAGCTTCTA